AGATATGAAATTAATACTTTTATTCAGAAAAGGATGCATTAAATTGATTAAAATTAAAAGTAAATATGTTTGTTAGAAAAGATTTATATTTCAAATAAATGCTCTTAAGTTACTGTTCATCACAGAGTGCTGACATAATTAGGGTTTCTAGAAAGCAGCACAACTGTTTTCAACATTGATAATAATAATACATGTTTCTTGAGCAGTTAATCAGCATATTCGACTGATTTCTGAAGGATCATGTGATGCTGAAGACTGGAGTAGTGGCTGCTGAAAATGTAGCTTTGCACATCACATTTTAAAATACATTAAAATAGAAAACAGTTATTTTACATTGTAGTAATGTTTAGTAAAAAAAAAAAGTGTTTACATTTGAAAAGTAGTGTTTTTAATGCATCCAGATGATACCATAATGACCCAAATAAGAGCCCTTTCTGAAAGAGTGAAAGAGAAACAATTAATTGTTAAATTGCTATTATTTGTGCCCAGAATACTTATGTTTATTTGTTTACAGGCCATTTCTCATTATGAACAGGCAGCAGATTATTACAAAGGGGAGGAGTCCACCAGGTACTCTTTGGCTGTATCCGAAATCGCCTCCTATACCCTCAAATAGGGTACTAATTGAGGGGACAGCCATTTTAAGTGGTGTCCGAAACCATAGTGGGCATTCTCGAGTGCACTCATTCAAACCCACAATGCACCGCAAAAACGAGTGTACAACCGATGTACACTCAACAGCTAGAGATAACCCATAATGCACTGTGAGAGTCGCGCGCCGAATAAATAAATAAATACAAATAATGCAAAGACAGGTATGAACTGTGAGAAACGGAGACAGCTAGAATCGCTATTCGTATATTGCATGAGAATACTCACCCTCAAAATTGTCGATGTAACTCGAAATATATAATTTGAAGCCCTTCTCTTTCTTACTGTTGGGTGTAACAGCTGATTGCCTCACGATACGATTAACGTCATTTACGGTAATCCGGGGAAGCTCTTGTAAACAGCGAGTGTATGTCATCCTCTCCTGTGCCATTTTCACACAGTTATCGCCAATAGCGAAAACGGCTTCCGGCGCTGCACCGGATGTAACTGAGCTGGCTGAGACCAAACGCGGAAGCGATCTTGCATAGAGTCTATTCCCGCGTCTGTCTCGCCAGAAGATGGTGCCCGCAGCTGAATCCATTCATTTTACAACGCGCTCGTCCATGGCGTAATACAGCGTAATACAACACATGTACAAATTCATTGTAAATTGACTATTAAATTGTTTAACTAGGGTTTATACATAATATGACAGAGTTCAAGATAATTTCTTTAATCTTACTACTGGACCTGCCCGTTTCAAATGATTATTACAGCAAGCAAACTATGCTAAAGCGGCAGTCTTTCCGGTGCACTCAGTGTCTGAATTCACTCACTCGTTTTCATTCACTCCTTCAAGTGAACTGAATAAGTGGACTAATGTAGGGAATAATGAATGAGGGTATAGGGGGCGATTTCGGATACAGCCTTTATCAGTGTTGATAAGTGTTGTAGAACAATTTAGGTTTGAGCACAAAAGCTGTGTTGTAATTAAATGATTGAATTTAGTATTATTAAACTAAATGAACTCACTCACTCTCTTTAGTGCAGCCAACAAATGTCTTCTCAAAGTGGCAACCTATGCGGCTCAGATGGAGCAGTACCAGAATCCATTGAAATATTTGAGCAGGTCTGTGTGATTTGATCTTCTGTCGAAAACCTGTGTTCATTTGTCTCATTCATCCTTCATGTTGATTGGCATGTTGTCTGCTCAGATTGGGATTTACTCCATGGACACTACTTTGCTGAGGTATGGTGCTAAAGACCATTTGTTCAAAGCAGCTCTGTGTCACTTCTGTGTGGATATGCTCAACTGCAAGGTGACTGATTTACTCTCTTCCCAGTCTGAAAACATTTACAATGACTTGTAACTTTGCGCTTTCTCTTTATTTAACCCTTGTTCTCTTCGATAGCTGGCTGTACAGAAGTATGAAGAAATGTATCCAGCCTTCTCAGATGCTAGGGAGTGCAAACTTCTTACGGTTGGAGTCTTTCTTGCCAATACATTTAGTTACTTAAAGATTCTTCTATAGAACACAATTGTGATCTCAGATTCATGGTCAACATCCATTGAGACTGAAGGTGGATTTACTGCACAAATCTGTGCCTAATTGTCTCTATTTATTGTCTTATTGTTTTGTATTTTATACACTACCATTTGAAAGGTTGGAGTTGGTAAGATTTTTTCAATGCAGTAAAAAAAACAGTAATATTGTGAAACATTATTATAATGTAAAATAACTGTTTTCTATTTTAATGTATTTTAAAATTGATTTATTCCTGTGATGGCAAAGCTGAATTTCTCCAGTCTTCAGTGTCACATGATCCTTCAGAAATCATTCAATGCTGATTTGCTGCTCAAGAAACATTTCTTATTATTAGTGTTGAAAACAGTTGAGCTACTTAATATTTTAGGTGGAAACCATTACAGTTTTTTCAGTATTCTTTAAGTTGCAATATATTTTTTGTAATAATGTGAGTCTTTACTGATACTTTTGATCAATTTAATGGTTCCTTGCTGAATAAAAGTATTAATTACTTAACATAAAAATCTTACCAACCCCAAACTTTTGAAAAGTAGTTAAGAGTCTTTGAACATTTTGTGAGACTTTATACAAAGTAATCAATCACAATTTAAATTTCTGCATTTCACACTAAACAGATTCTTCTTGATGCACATGAAGAGCAGAATATTGATGCATATGCTGATGCAGTAAGTTCTCTTAGTAATATTGTTTTATAATTCACTGCACACATTTTAACTGTGGTAGTTCATTCATGAATTACTCCATCTAAATTCTGGATTTCTTTTATTTCATTAGGTAAGGGAATTTGACTCCATCACCCGACTTGATCAGTGGCAGACCACTATGTTACTAAGAATCAAGAAGACCATTCAGGACGAGGAGAATGACCTTCGCTAATGTGAAGTCATGATTCCAAGCTCATTTCCCATTCTCCCGTTCTTCCTCTCACTTAACAGTGATTCCTTTCTTACCATGGTTATTATTTATTCATATATGTGACCCTGGACCACAAAACCAGTCTTAAAGGGGTCATATGATGCGATTTCAAGTTTTCCTTTCTCTTTGGAGTGTTACAAGCTGATTGTGCATAGATAAGATCCCTGAAGTTGCAAAGACTAAAGTCTCAAAACCAAAGAGATATTCTTTATCAAAGTTAAGACTCTGCCACGACCCCTAAAATGGCTCGTTCTAACACGCCCCCACATATCTACCTCACCATGTGGAAATATTAGCATAATGCGCCCAAATGATCACGCAAAGAAAGAAGGCGTGGTTTCAGGAACAGCAGTTAGTGTTGAAGCAGCCATGTCAAGGAGACGCTGTGTGTTTCTAGGCGAAAGCAAAAGCACTTTATTTGGCCTTCCGAAAGTAGATGCATTTAGGAATCATTAAGATCACTTACAACAGTACAGCAAGGCATTT